ACAATTGTGTTCTGAAATTCTTGAAGTGAATTTTTCAGCTGTATCAGCTCACTTTGCCTCTTTCTTAACATGACCATTTCATCTTTCATTTCCTGTATTATTTTATTTATTCCTTAGATTCCTTGTATTGGGTTTCAGCTTTCTCCTGAATGTCAGTCATCTCCATTCTCATCCATATTCTGAATTCTATTTCTGTCATTTCAACCTGTTTAAGAACTACTGCTGGAGAACTAGTGCAGTCATTTGGAGGTAAAAAGACACTCTGGCTTTTTGATTTGCCAGAGTTCTTGGCTGCTTCTTTCTCATCTATGTGGACTGATACTCTTTCAATCTTTGAAGGTGCCATCCTTTGGATGGCCCAGTGGCAGCATGGGCCAGGGTGCAGGGTCACCAGTGTCCATGCTCAACGTTCAGGCTGGCGGTGGCAGTGGAAGTGGGTGTGCTTATCCTGGCAGCAATGGCATGGTGGGGTACATGCACACCCACACCCACCCATTCTCCAGATTTTGAAAGTTTTCTGTTATCCTTTGAATAACCTTTCTATTCTTTTTTCTTTCTTATATCCCTCCTTAACTTTAGCAACCCTAATATTTTCTTTTTTGATGTTGTCCCATAGACCCTGCAAGCTTTCTTTATTCCTTTTTATTCTTCTTCCTATTTTCTCATCTGACTGTGTATTTCCATATAGTTTTTGAGCTCACTGATTCTTTCTTCTGTTTAATTATTCTGCTGTTGATATTCTCTATTGCCTTTATTATTCATTATATTTTTCAATTCCAGGATTTTTTTTAAAATTATTTCAATCTCTTTGTTAAATTTCTCTGGTAAATTTCTGAGTTGATTCTCTGTGTTTTCTTAAAGTTCATTGTGCTTCTTTAAAACATCTGTTTTGGCTGGGCATGGTGATTTATACCTATAATCCCAGCACTTTGGGAGGTTGAGGTAGGAAGACTGATTGAGCCCAGGAGTTGAAGACCACCCTGGGCAACAAAGTGAGACTCCACTTCTACCAAAAAATTAGCCAGGCATGGTGGTGCATGCCTGTGGTCTCAGCTACATGGGAGGCTGAGGTGGGAAGACTGCTTAAGCCCAGGAGGTTGAGGCTGCAATAAGCCATTTTATGCCACTGCACTCCAACCTGGGTGACAGAATGAGAGCCTGACTCAAAAAACAAAGGAAAAAAACACCCCAAAACAGTTATTTTGAATTCTTTGTCTGAGAGATCACACATCTCTATTACTTTATGGTTGGTCTCTGGCATCTTATTTTGTCTGTTTGGTGAGGTCATATTTCCCTGAGTGTTCTTGATGTTTTTAGAAGTGTGATGCTGTCTATGTTTTGAAATATTAGGTATTTATTTTTGCCTTTGTAGTCTGGCTTTGTTTGTGCCTGTCCTTCTTCAAAAAGACTTCCAGGGATTCTAAGCAGATTGACTGTTACGTTTCCTGGGCCTGGGACCACTACTGGCATCTTAGTATACTTGGGAGTGGTTTAAACCCAGCCTTGCTGCAAGTCTTGCAAAGACTGAGATTGATGTGGCTTTCTGGCCCAGGTGGCTCTGGGAAGACTCAAAGACAGGACTGGGCCTATGTGAGAATGCAGACCAAGGAGACCCGAGTCCAGAACACTGTCCCAGCAGCCCAGACGTGTGCTTCCCAGCAGGTCTCTGCATGGGTCCCAACTGTAGCCAGAGGGACTGGATTTAAGATTGGGCCATTGCTGGGTGCAGTGGCTCACACCTGTAATCCCAGCACTGTGGGAGGTTGAGGTGGGTGGATCACAAGGTCAGGAGTTCAAGACCAGCCTGGCCAAGATGGTGAAACCCCATCACTACTAAAAATACAAACATTAGTCAGGCGTGGTGGCAGATGCCTGTAATTCCAGCTACTCAGGAGGCTGAGGCAGAGAATTATTTGAACCTGGGAGGTAGAGGTTGCAGTGAGCCAAGATGGTGCCACTGCCCTCCAGACTGGGCAACAGAGTGAGACTCCATCTCAAAAAATAAAAATAAAAAAAACTGGACCATCTTGGGATCTGCTTTAGGAATGAAGCTGGTTGTCCATCTCATTGGCTTAGACAGGTGTATGTCACCTAGGAGGTCCCTGCAAAAGTATTTCCTTGACTGCAACAAGAGACCAGAGTTGAAACTGGCACCCCTTGGGATCTGCTGTGGGCTGGAGGATGGTGTGCCTGGCATGGTGGTTCAGACAGGCATACATCTGCTAGCATGTCTCTGCATAGATGGAATTATTCCCTGATTGTAGCAGGAGGGGCTGGAATTGACCATAGGCCCCCTAGGTATCTGCTATGGAACAGAGGCTAGAGAGCCCTGTCTTGGTTCAGGGAGGTGCACATTGCCCAGCAAAGTTCTTGCTCACTAAGAATAGTTCCCTGACCGCAGCAGGAGGGGCCAAATCTTAGACTGGGCCTCCTCAGGATCTGCTGTGAGGTAGTGGCCATTGGTTCAAAGGGGCATGTGTCTCCCAGCAAGTCCATACACAGATGAGATGGTTGCCTGATTGCTGTAGGAGGGGCCAGGGCTAACACTAGACCCCACTGGGATTTGCTATGAGAAGGAGGCTAGAGAGCCCATCTTGTTGGCCCAAGCAGGCGTGTGTCTCTCAGCAGGTCTCAGCACAGATGGGATAATTCTCCACTGTAGTGGCAGGGGTCAGAGCAAGACTGTCCTCTCAGGATTTGCTGTAGGGTAAAGGCTAGAAAGCCCAGTTTCATTGGCTCAGAGGGGCATGTGTCTTCCAGCAAGTCTTTGCAAATTCTGAGTAGCTCTCTGATTGCAGCTGGAGGGACCAGATCTCAGACTGGGTGAAATTTGCTGTGGAACAGAGGGTGGTGAACTCAGCTGGGAGCCTCGGGGTGCAAGATATGGCTGAGTCTCCTCCTGGGTCCTTGTACAAGAGACTGTGAGCAGGGACCTCAGCTGAGACGGTCTGGATCAGACAAACAGGGCAACTTTCAGGCTTACTGCCAAGACTGATGTCAGTGGGCAGACAAGCCTTTCCACCAAGGCACTGGCATGTACAACTCCTTCTGGACCTCTCTGCAGATGGTTTTGGTTGCAGGCTCAGGCCAAATGTGGCTGTAGCCCAGGCCCTTGGAAGGCTAGGCTGTTTTTGTTTTTTGGGTTTTTTTTTTGAGACGGAGTTTTGCTGTTGTTACCCAGACTGGAGTGCAATGGCATGATCTCGCTCACCGCAACCACCACCTTCTGGGTTCAAGCAATTCTCCTGCCTCAGCCTCCCGAGTAGCTGGGACTACAGGCACGCACCACCATGCCCAGCTAATTTTTGTATTTTTAGTTGAGACGGGGTTTCACCTCATTGACCAGGATGGTCTTGATCTCTTGACCTCGTGATCCACCCACCTCGGCCTCCCAAAGTGCTCGGATTATAGGCATGAGCCACCATGCCCGGCCAAGGCTTTCTAGTCTTGAACTGGGGAGCAGGCTTTGTGGATCAGCCACTTGGATGTTGTCTGCACTCTCAAAACAATCCTTCAAGGTCTTGGGCTCCACCAGTGTTTCACAGACTCCTACCTGAATCTTGAAACTCCTGCAGAGACATTTGACTGTGGGCAGGTGCAGAATTTTTGTTATTGTGAGGGGATATGAATGGGTTATCCTCTATTCCACCGTATTCTCTCTGCCTTTTGCATTCTGAGAGTCTTTCCACTCAGTCTTCCATCTTATAAATTAGTTCTTCAACTGGGTCCATTCTGCCAATCAGCACATTTATGAGTTCTTTTAATTATATTATAAATTTACAGCTTTGTTAGTAGCTTTGCTTCGACAACAGTCTGCTTTTGATTTAGGAGTTAAATAACCTTTGAATTTCTCAGAGAATACTAATTATTCTATTTTGAAATTTTTATAACTTTTGTTAAATAAACTGTTTTTATTTGGGTGCTAATTCTTCTCTTTTTTATATTGTTAATTTTCCTCAAATGTTAGGAGATTCTTCATTGTTTAGTTCCTTTGTGTAACAATACTCAATCAGAAGCTTAAAATGCAGTAATTCCTGTGATTGTGGGGAGAGCAGGATGCGCATTCAGGCAGCATGCCTATCTTTCTAGAGGTGCTGTCTAGAGGTGTTTTCTAGGGTTCACTGCTTAGCACTCACACTTGCAACCATGGCCCTTCCCCCAGGGAATTCTTTTGTTCAGTGCACAAAGCTTTCCCAAACTCCCTTGCAGACCCTCATTCACAGAAGTTATTTATGCCATATGTTGTTCCATCCCCTATTACTATTTTCTTCATTTTCATGTGACCTTTCTCATTATAATATCATTAACTTGTAGAAGGTGTCGCTTAACTAGGCTAAAGGTAAGCAATGTCTGCACAGGATCTAGTCCCAGCAGATGCTATGCTATATTAGGTTGAACTCAGCTGTTTATTGGCTCATCTCGTTCTGATGATCCCAAGAATGAAATCACTCTGCAGCCTCCTCCTTACGACTGTATGCTGGTTGTTCTTGGTATCTCTCCTGAATTCACTGGCTTAACACATTCTGTTTCTTCTAATATAACGAATATTACTTCCAAATCCTCTGACAGAATGTCTTCTATATACATTTCTAAGATGGTTGATCAGCTTTCTGTTCAGTATGGACTCCCCAGTAATTCTGAGGCTGGAAAGTGATTGTGTGTTTTAAAGTCAGACAGAAGGTCAGTGTGGCTGAAATACAGTGAGTCAAGGAGAGAGTAGCCTGAAATGAGATTGAAGAAGTAGGCAGGGGCCCGATCATGCAGGACCTCAGAGGTCTGGATAAGCAGTTTGTATTTTATCCTAAGTGCAGAGGGACTTATTACCTGGTGCATGTCACAGCCGGCTCCTCTTCCTAGTTAGCACTGGAGCCAAGGACCAATGAGGACTCCCTCTTGGAGGTGCCCTGGTATACACAGTGGATGTCAGAGCCATATCCTGGGTGCTCTAGGTGTCACTCAGTGCCCTCACCAACCTTCATGCTGTTTCTCTTCTGTTTCAGAGGTTGTGTTCTCATCTCACCCTGGATTTTCAACCTCAGAGGTAGGAGCTGAATACTTTGTGTTCCTGAGTTAGAATATTAATTTTAATAGACCAAATAAGTTAATGGAGCCGTGAGAGTCATTTCTGTAGACGACACTGAGGAAGCCCATTGACTGAATAGGTATTTGCCAAGTACCTACCAGGTACCAGGTCCTGTGCTGGCCACAGACAGACAAGTCTTGACCTTACCTGCCCACTCTTTCATTGTTCTTACATGCTGTTTAGCATAATGTAATAATGGCAGCTGCCTCAAGTGATAAAATTGGCATTGAAGTGGAGCTGCTACCAGGAGCTCCCTAACAAGAGCTCCCAAAGCTGGCAAAGTCCTTTCCAGAAACTCCACTACCCAGGACCTAATCCTTGATGTCACAGACTGAGACCCTTGATTTTTGTCAGCACAGAAATTTTTTTTTCCCTCTCATGGCAGATGCTCATGGAAACTGGTGCATGTAAACTAAATATTGATTAACTCATTTACAGTAAATAGAGCATCTCTTCATTTAGCCAACCTGCATCCTTGAGAGGTAGCTCAGTATACAACCTCCCCACAGATACAACTGCATGAGAAATTCTATCAGTTAACTATAGCTGCTTACCAAACCAACCTAGTAACAATTCACTATTTTTCACCACTCACAATTGAGTTGATGAGGTGATTCTACTGGCTTTGCCAAGACTCACTCATGCAGCTGTATTTAGCTGGCAGGGGGGACTGGGGGCTGGGTTAAGGTACACAGCTGGCATGGCTCAGCATCTTCTCTCTTTACGATCTTCTTCTCCTGGGCTTCATTACAGTATGGTTGCATTACAGCATCAGAGTTTCAAGAGAGCAAGGGTAAACCAAAAGTTCTGAAATTGAAATAGTATCAATTCTCCACATTCTTTTGGTCAAAGCAAGTCAAAAGCCCACTATTATACTGCTGTACAATTCTGACGCTGACCCCTGAGTTCACGCAGACTCCACAAATTAAGCATTGACCCCACAAGGGAGGGTAGTTCCCAACAAGATTGCCCTCACTTCAGAGGCCAGCCACAAATTTGGGAGTCCCCAGGCTATCCACACTTTGACCAACTGGCTATAAATTCAAGCGTTTCCACAACCTACTCAGGTTTAGTAACTTTCTAGAACAATTCACAGAACTCAGGAAAGGGTTATACTTACAATTACAGTTTTACTATAATGCAGCAGTCTTCAACCTTTTGGCACCAGGGACCAGTTTTGTAGAAGGCAATTTTTCGATGGACTGGGGTGGGGTGGGTGGTTTCAGGTGATTCAAGTGCACTACATTTATTGTGCATTTTATTTCTATGATTACACTGTAATATATAATTAAATAATCATACAACTCACTACAATGTAGAATCAGTGGGAGACCTGAGCTTGGGAGGCAGTGACAGATCATCAGGCATTAGATTCTCATAAGGAGTGTGCAATCTATACCCCTCACATGCCCAGTTCACAATAGGGTTTGTGCTCCTATGAGACTCTAATACTGCTGCTGATCCCACAAGAGGTGGAGCTCAGGAAGTAATGTAAGCAATGGGGAGCAGCTGTGAATACAGATGACGCTTCGCTCGCTCACTCACCCACTGCTCACTTCCTGCTGTGCAGCCCAGTTCCCAGCAGGCTAGGGACTGACATTGGATTGTAGCCTGAGGGTTGCCCAGCTATAAATGATACGAATCAGGACCAGCCAAATGAAAAGGCATATACAGTGAGGTCTGAGAGCTTTCATGCCCTCTCCCTATGGATTCAGGGCATGTCTCCCTCCCAGCACATTGATGTGCTCACCAATTAGGAAGCTCACCCATACCTCAGAGTCCAGAGCTTTCAATGGAGGCTCATTGGCCACCTGACAAAACTCAATCTCCAGTCCCTTATCCTTCCCAGTGGTCAGGCTGGCACAAAGCCCCAACCCTCTAGTCACCTGGTTAGTCTTTCTGGCATGGCTAGCCTCCATCCTGAGTCATCTCATTAACCATAAATTAAGATGTGACTCAAGGGGTCCTGCATAACAAAGATACTCCTATCACTCAGAAAATTCCAAGGGTTTTAGAAGCTCAGTGCCAGGAACCTGGGACAAAGACCAGCCAAATTGTTTCTTATATAACAGCCAGTCTAATTTCTAAAGAGGGTAGAGACATGATCTCACCTCTGAATGGGAGGAGCAACCAGGTCACACTGCAAAAGGGCATGTATGTGGGATGAAGGCACTTGTGGCCAATTAACAGTCTACCACAGAAGTCAAAGATATTTTTTTTTTTTTGAAATGGAGTCTTGCTCTGTGGCCAGGCTGGAGTACGGTGGCACAATCTCGGCTCACTGCAACCTCTGCCTCCTGGGTTCAAGAGATTCTTCTGCCTCAGCCTCCCGAGTAGCTGGGACTACAGGTGTGTGCCACCATGCCCAGCTAATTTTTGTACTTTAGCAGATACAGGGTTTCACCATGTTGGCCAGGATGGTCTCCATCTCCTGACCTCGTGATCTGCCTGCCTCGGCCTTCCAAAGTGCTGGGATTACAGACATGAACCAGTAATTTGTAGGATTGCTCAGTGCTCAGATCAGCTCTCTGACATCTGAAAATCTAGAAAGTGAATTGGATAGTTGAGATTTTTAGTGGCCTTTCTCTATTAAAATCAGATGCATCCCCCTCTAAGACAAGGCCCTCTCTGCCCCGAGCAGGGCCAGTTATGCCCTTGGTTTAGGAAATTCTTCGTCCAGACTCTCTGGCTTTTCCTTTTTTGTGCTCCAGTTTGACTTACCCACTTCAGTTCACATAGCCTTGCTCCAGGTAGGGAATTACTAGTGGAGGAGACTGCCTTATCAGACTGCCACAACATTCCACTCTTGCGTCTCAGAGATTGCCTTGGGATCACTGGGAGAGGCGAGTTGTCTGAGTGCCCAAACACCATCACTGGCTTTTTATTCTCACCCATGACTGACATGTCCACTTGTGTGGTTTTTACAAGTTGACCCAGAAGGGTACAAAACACTTGGCCCAGCCGGGCGCAGTGGCTCATGCCTGTAATCCCAGCACTTTGGGAGGCCGAGGCGGGTGGATCACGAGGTCAAGAGATTGAGACCATCCTGGTCAACATGGTGAAACCCCATCTCTACTAAAAATACAAAAAATTAGCTGGGCATGGTGGCGCGTGCTTGTAATCCCAGTTACTCAGGAAGCTGAGGCAGGAGAAATTGCCTGAACCCAGGAGGCGGAGGTTGCGGTGAGCCGAGATCTTGCTATTGCACTCAAGCCTGGGTAACAAGAGCAAAACTCCGTCTCAAAAAAAAAACAACACTTGGCCCAAAGTAAATGCCCCACAGATGTTCACTGAATGAACAAGCCATATTTAAGTGACTTGCTCAACATTCCATAGTGATGAATGGAACTTAGAACTTAGTCCATCTGAACCTAACCATAGCCCAACATCTACCCTTTGGTCCCATCAAACTCAGGAATCAGTGAGTGTTCTGGGTTATGTAAAGTTAAACCAACAATTACCTTTTTCTGCTTGATCAAATATGTTGAATCTGTAGCAGTCTGGGTTGTATGAAAAGAGCATGACCTTAAAAGGATTCAGATGCAGCATGCCACATTCAGCCCCCATGGGCCAGCTGAAGTCATTCAGGACTGTTGTTTCATCCTCAAATGAAGAACCTCCACTGGAGGATGGGGTCTAGCCCATCAGAGCATGTGTCCAAGGCTGAAGACGACACCTTCTCCCTCTCCCCACTAGGAAAATTCCCTTAACAACACAAGCACCTGCCCCTTTGCCTTCTGGAGAATTAGCCCAACTGTGTAGAAGGGCCAATTCAGGGTAAGCTGCTGTAGGGCAGAGGGAAGGGGTGGGGACCAAGTACTTCTGATGTCTGCACCAGTGCTGTAGTATCCTGTGGCCACAGAAAACTTGAAAATTTAACTTTGGATGCTCCAAAATTAGCTCATCATGTGACCTAAGAGCACTTGGACCCAGAATTCTGGGCTGATGGTGACATCTACCCTTATGACCCTACATGCCTCTTTTGGCCAAGTCTCTCTAGGAAGGTCATTCATTCCACCATATTCCATTGAAAGGGTCTGTTGGCCCTTAGTGGCCTTAACTTATTACTGGGCACTTTGATTTTGATTTTTCCTTCTTTCCAAGAAAACCAAGATATGTTCACTTCCTCCCATATTTGAGATTCTTCCTGTGAAGTCACTGAAGGCCAGGAACCAGACGCTGGCCCCACCCTTCCCAGAGCTGAGATACCTTAGCCTGGCCTACAACAAGGTGACTTTCTGCTCCTCTACTCTGCTCAGGGGCACAGATGGGAGGGGTGGGATGCAAACTGCTCTGGTCTAAAGACCAACCCTCCATTCAATTCCCTGCATTATAGGTACAAGGGCTCAGGAATTCTCAGGGTGGGGAAAGTGGAGGGAGTTCAGGTCAAGGTAGGAGTCCATCTCTTCAGTCACAGATATTTACTTAGCACTTACCAAGTGTCAGGCTCTGTGCTAGGCACTGGTATACTGCTGTGGAAAAAGACTTGGCCTCTGCCCTTTTGCACCTTATCACCTAGAAGGAAGACTGACAGTGGACAAATCATCACAATACAAGCATGCTTAGTGTTATGCAGAAATTCACTGTGTTATGAAGTAAATGATGGAGGGGAGGTATCTAACCTAATACTTGGGATCAAGGAAGGTTATCAAGAAAGTGGTGTTTAAGCTGAGATCTGAATCAGTGAGTTTAATCAGGTGAAGAGGGTGTGTCAAGTGAGGGTAGAAATGTTGTAGCCTAAGGGGAACAGCAGATATAAAGTCCATGGGAGAGATTTAACATGTTTTTCCAATAACCATGTCCTGTTTGGTTTTTGGTTTTTGGTAAAAAGCCCTACTCAAGTCTGAAATGCAGGAAACTTGTAAGATACTCTGCTTACATTCCTTCAATAGCAAGCAGCTGGTACAGCTAAACTCCCCAAGTGTTTTCTTCTAAGAGTTTTATAGTTCTAGCTCTTACAATTAGGTCTTTGTTCTATTTCAAGTTAATCTTTATATAGTGTGAGAGAAGCAACAGCTTCATTCTTCTATATGTGGATATCCAGTTTTCTCAACGTCACTTATTGCAAAGACTATTCTTTCCCCCATTGAAAGGTTTTTACACCCTTGCCGAAAATCAGTGGACCATAGATGTATCATGGGTCCCTCTTCTTGAAATTAGTCTTTTATTGATCCAAAATAGTTAGACATTACCTCTTCTATTGACTTGTTCTTATTAAACTAACTGCTGGTTTCACTGGATATCTCTGTTTTCCATTTCATTGATTTCTGCTTATAACTGTACTTCTCTTTTACTTACAATGATTTTAATTTGCTCCTCTTTTTCTTGAATATTAGGCAGTATAATTTTAGATAATTTAGACCTTTCTTCTAATATAAGCATGTAAAGCTTTACATTTCTTCTCCAAGCACGACTTTAGCTACATTCCTATAAATTGTAATATATTTTCTATTTCTATTCAGTTAAAATATTTTCACCTTTTCCTGTGATTTCTTTGATCCATAGGTTGTTTAGAAGGGAGTTAATTTCCAAATATATGGGGCTCTTCTAGGTACCTTGTAACTGTTTATTTCTAATTTAATTATCTTGTGTGCAGATAACAATCTGTAAGATGTCATTCTTCTGAAATCTATTTAAATTTGTTCTATGATTCGCCCTATGGTCAGTCTGTCATGGTGAACATTCCATGTGCATTTCAAAAACTATGTTTATTCTGCAGTTTTGGAGTAAAGTGTTCTACAAATATTAGGGTAAGGTGGTTGGTCACGTCACTTGGATCTTCTCTGTACTCTTGTCTACTTATTCTATCAATTACTGAGAGCAGTGTGTTAAAATCTCCAGATGTGGTTGTGAATCTGCTTATTTCTCCCTTTAGTTCTGTCAGTTTTTACTCCATTTATTTTGAAGTCTGCTATTGATGCACATACATTTAGAATCGTTATATCTACCTAATGTATGGATACTTTTATAATTATGAATTGCCTTTTTTTTGCCTCTATAATATTCCTTGTCTTGATGTCTATTTTGTTTGATTTAAATACAGCTACTTAGCTTCCTTATACTTACTGTTTGCAAGGTATTTCTCTTTCTATCCATTTACTTGCAACCTATTTATATCTTTGTAGTTAATACGTGTCTCTTTTAGACACTATATAGTTGGTTTTTCCTAGAGTGCCGGAGTGTTTTTCTCAGTGTTCCTGTTTTCCTGAGTGCCTGTACCTCAGAGTTTATCTTCACACGGTTGTTCCTCCCCCTAGCACTAGACTGCTTTTGCTTGCTCCTTAGTGCTAGGGGCCAAAGGGAGGCTTTAGCCCCAGTCTTAGGCAGCCCTGGGAACAACTCTGTTTCTCAAGGATGGGCTTTTCTCAGTGGTCCTACCTCCCAGCAGCAGGAGACCTCCAATGTACTAGGCCCAGGTTGGTTTCTGGCTCCAACCCCAAGCGTAGTAGGTTTTAATTTTTTCCCTACCCAAGATGCAGTGCCCCAGGCTGACACAGTTTGCTGATCTTCTCAGCTGTAGGCTTGTGTTCACTACGGAGAAGGGTTGGTAAGGCCTCTCCTGTCTTTTTTTAGTGGTAGCCATCGCCTCTTCCAGGCCCACTGCACCAAAGAAGGCTGTCACCCATCCCTCTCCTGCCTCCAATCTTTCTCACACTAGTGAGTGTGAACTCCCTGGGTGTCTGCAGTTTAAAGGAGTTTACTCTAGGCCAAGCTTGGTCTTTATAAATTCACTAAAATTTTTAGCTGATTTCTTCTTTTTTTTTTTTCCAGGACTGTAAATTCAGAGTGTAGGAATATGATTTCTTCTTAAGTACTTGTGTGGCACTTGCATCTGCCACATTCTGCCATAGGAAGGCCAGTGTCTGTGTCCCATCTCTCCTTGGAGGTGCCAGTATTTCCTCAGATTATAGGCCACATGACTATCCTGAGACCTTAGCTCTCTACTGAACTCAAAGTTATGATTTTATAAGTTATTCAGTTTTTTCCCTTGTTATTCAGCACTCTTTCCATTTTTCCATGTTTGCACCTGAGTTTTTAAATGGTATTTTTCTTTATGATAGTTACCATCTAACATATTATATTTCTTTTTTAAGACAGAGTCTCGCTCTGTCACCAGGCTGGAGTACAGTGGCACAATCTCGGCCCCTTGCCTCCCGGGTTCAAGTGATTCTCCTGCTTCAGCCTCCCAAGTAGCTGGGACTACAAGCACGCCATGTGCCACCATGCCCAGCTACTTTTTGTATTTTTAGTAGAGACGGGGTTTCACCATGTTGGACAGGATGGTCTCGATCTCTTGACCTCATGATCTGCCTGCCTCAGCCTCCCAAAGTGCTAGGATTACAGGTGTGAGCCACTGTACCCAGCCTACATATTATGTCTTTTTGTCTATTGTCACATATCTACTACCAGAATTGGCTTTTCTTTTTTTAGCACTAGGACTTTGTTTTGCTTACATCTACATGCTCGTTATCTAGAATATTACCTGATACATGATAGGTGTTTAATAAGTTTGAATGCTTTTTCTTTTTTTTTTTTTTGAGACGGAGTATCACTCTGTCACCCAAGCTGGAGTGCAGTGGCACAATCTCAGTTCACTGCAACCTCCACCTACCAGTTTTAAGCAATTCTCCTGCCTCAGCCTCCTGAGTAGCTGGGACTACAGGCACCTGCCACCATGCCTGGCTAGTTTTTGTATTTTTATTAGAGATGGGTTTCACCATATTGGCCAGGCTAGTCTCTAACTCCTGACCTTGTGATCCATCTGCCTTGGCCTCACAAAGTGCTGAGATTGCAGGCATGAGCCACCGCACCCAGCCTTATGAATGATGTTTTCATCATGTCAAATATTACAACTACCTGTGTTGAAATTAATATTTATTAATTTTATTTTATTTTGAAGTTACAAACTTCAAAATAATTTCTGCCTTTAAACAGAACTTAGACATCTAGAATCTTCATCAGAAAATCACTCAGAATATTTACTGGAAATTTCATGTCAAAAGTAAAAATAATAATTTTCACTTGGTCTTTAATACTTAGTTCATAAATGTGACAGATTGTTATACTCTACGTAATGCAACAAGATTGAGCAGAAATGTAAAGTTATCCATTGGAACCTGAATGTATCTCCAGAATCATTCAGCTCACCCTAGACGAACAGACTAGCCCCATGGCCAGACTTCCGCTTGCTATGTCAGCCAGAATCCTAAGCCCAGACCTTTTAGCTGAGCTTAATTTCACAGAAAATATGACACAAATGACCTGAGTATCGTTCAACTTTTTATCAATTTTTAATTGTAACTTTCTTCAACTTTTTAATCACCTGGATTGGGTAAATGTAACTTTGCATCCTGACAAAATTAAATTCTGCGTCTCCCATTCTTTAGTGATTGTCTCTTGATCCCCTGATTTGCACCCAAGAGACTGTGCACCCACTTTGACCACTGTGAGAGTCATTTATCAAAACATATTTGGCACCATTTGAGGTTCGTCTTCTATCTCTGAGGTCTAGATAAGATGGCAGCAGACTTTTATATTTTACTCTGTTGCAACTACTCAACTCTGCCCTTGCAGGAAAAAAGGCAATATGGCAACGATTGAGAAAGGCAATATTCTAATGAAACTTTAATAAATGGATCATGGGCCATATTTGGGTCATGGGCTGTATTTGCCAATCTTGGTTTTGGTACAGCCTGTGTGCTAAGAGTGGTGTTTGCATTTTTTTTAATGATTGAAAAAAATCAAAAGGATAAAATTTCATGACACATTAAAGTTATATGAAATTCAGATTTCAGGATCCATAAATAAAATTTTATTGGAAAAGAGCCACCCCACCTATTTATATATAAATTGTCTATGGCTCATTTTGTGCAACAATAGTAAAATTGAATAGCTGCAACAGAAACCATATGGTCTGCAAAGCCTAGACTAGTAGATTTACTAGACTTACTGTCTTTGACACAAAAGGTTTGCTGATCCCTGGTCTAGAAGATCAAATGTTAAAGTCCCTCAAGGCTTACTCCTAGTCCCTTTTCTTCTCTCACTCCCTACTGTCTCCACAGGGATGACTTCAGATACCCATTGGCCCATGAACAGTGACTCACAAATTTCTAACTCTAATGCAGACCTCTCTTTGTTCCAGACCAATGTATCCAACTGCCTATTTGACATTTCTACCTGGAAGCCTCAAAGCTACCGCCAACGTACAAATACCCAAAGCAAATTAATAAATTTTTTCTTCAAATTTTATATTTTCATTGTTCCCTATCTTAGTGAATAGCTTCATCTTCCATCCAGTTACTCAAGCCAAAACCTGGTTGTCACCTTTGATACTTCTTTCTCTTTTGTACCTCCCCATCTACCCCCGCCCCCACTAATATCTAATTCATCACCAAGTCTTGTCAGATTTAGGTCCTCATATTTCTAAAGTCCATCTAATTTTATAATAAGCCACCACTTGCAGGCTGGCTTTACAGGGCATTCTCTGTGTCCCAGACAACCACGAGGTCTCCCTTAACACTAGCTCTACTTATCGCTTAGATGTGTGGGTCCTCCTTTCCCCCTGTTCATCCCCAGATCAGTGCCCAGATTCCTCCAAAGACCAAAATCTTGAACTACCTTTGGTTTGCCCCCTACTTGCATTTCCAGCCTCATTTTGCACCAGACGCCCTCTTTCTATATACTTTTAGTCACACTAGCCTTCTTTAAACTCCTCCAGCAGGCTATGAGGCCTTTCACACATTTTTCTCTTTGTATAGAACACTTCTCTCTGCAACAAACTTAAATATCTTAATTGCTTAACACAATAAAAGTGTATTTCTTGCTTTTACAAAGTCCATCATGGATATTCCTGGTTGGCAGGTGGCCTTCCATATGGTCAGAAACCCAGTTTCCCCTGGGCTATGTTTTGTCATCTCATAGGGTCTTAATAGTACTCACCTGGATCCTACGTATCTCATTAGATGGTCAAGCAGGGGGACTGTGGTAGAGGGAGGAAAGTGGAGGAGGTTACACAAGGGTAAGGACTGTGCATAGAAGTAGCATTTACTACTTCCACCCAAGTTGCATTGGCTAGTACTGGGTACATGACCACACGTAGCTGCCTGGGAGGCTAGGAGATATAATAAATGGTTTTGGTTAATACAGAAGTTTCTCTGCCACACACTCCATCCCCCACTGCATTCACTAGTTAAACCTCCTCTCCCTCCTTCAGGTCTCAGAGACACCTCTGACTTCTCTGACTAGGTCAGATCACCCTGGTACTTCATGCGCCTCTCTTGTGACACTTAACACATTGTAAATCTATTCTCCTGTGTTACTGTCTCTCCAGTGCTTGTTTCCCACTGGACAGTGCTCTTTGAGGGCAGGAACTGTGTCCTGTTTTGCTCATTCCCAACAAAGTGCTTGGCACATGGTAGGTATTCAGTAAATATATGTTGGTTGAATTAATAAAAATGAAAGCGAAGTTAGTTCCTTAGTGGAAATCTAGTGCTGTCCAGTAAGGCTGCGGAGGAAGCTAGACTGAAGTGCCCTCCCTCTTCCAGTCACTGGATTTTAGTATCTTCATTGGGTCCTACATCTGACCCAATACCTTCCAGTGTGTGCAGGGGTCTGATAGGCCACTGCCCCATTCCTGGCCACTTTGATCTTGATGTCCCTGATATTTTTCCATTGCTAATAGATACTCTCACCAAAATGGTCCCCAGCTTTTCCAGGCAGTCTGCTCAACAAAGCTTGTATATTTTTTGCCCTTCAGAGGCTGGGTTGGCCAGTAAGCCACCACTTGCAGGCTGGCTTCACAGGGCATTCTCTGTGTCCCAGACAGCCGTGAGGTCTCCCTTAACACTGGCTCTACTTATGCCTTAGATGTGGATCCTCCTTTCCCCTTATCCATCCCCAGATCAGTGTCCAGGACTGGCCTCAGTGAAAGAGCCATCAGGAGTGTGTAGAGGTTTGTGTTGAGGAAGATGAAGTGTCAGACGAATTGTATCCTGAAGTCAAAGTCAATGCCCTGCCAACCTTCCAAACTCTTTATGAGCAAAGAGTTTGTTCTTGTGACAAATGTGTTTGTTCTTACTGTTTTGCCACCAGCTTCCCTAATACTTGATATAGGCTACATATCCAGCATGGAGAAGAGAGAAAAACTCTTAGCTCTCAAACACGCAACACTGATGGTGGAATTTCAGACAGGAGGGGCAAGGTACTCCGCACATGGGCAAGTGGTATTGCAGGGACAAGGCATCGCCCGGCAGCGAGTGCCATCCACAGCGTGTGTCTTACCCAATCCCATCCCCAATCCTAGCAAGCATGTAGCCCTGCAGTGAGGGGCCTAGACGTACCTGGGCAGAGGTGATGGGTGGTGTCAACCTGAGAGTCTCTCCTGCATTCGTTATAGATTGCAAAGGAGGATGCCGTCCTGCCAGTAGCTCTCTTCCCATCTCTCTGCGAGTTCGTCTTTCATAACAACCCTCTAGTGGCCCATACACGAGGTACAGTACCTGCAAACCTGCCCCCTCTCAACCCAGTGTCCAAGGAGCAGCGTGGCACCTTCATCCCCACCTCAATCTTGGGATCTACTCTCTGTCACGGGGACAACGTTCATGGTACATTGGGGGATGGAGGAAACAGCTTTGTACCAGCTCATCCTGACAGTAACCCTGTGAGGCAGGCATTATTGTCCCCATAGCCAGTGGTAGAAACTGAGGCTCAGGGAGGTTTGTGATCTGCCCAAGGTCACACAGCAAGAAAGAGTCTGAGTTGGGAATGGAAGATGGAATTCTGTAGATCCTGTATGAGCTCTTTTGACTGTTTCCTTTGTGAAACAGTCCTGTCATGACCTCATTTCCTACTTCCCAGTTGCAAAGGGATGCAGGCCCAACTGCAGGACCCTCCCTTCCCAGAGGACACTAAATGCAGTGGTGCTGGGTCAGCAGTGGAGCCACTGTCTAAAATACAGGAGCCTGGAGGCATTTCAGACCCCTGGGCCCTGGAGTGACACCAGTGAAGCTCTAATCCTTGCTCCATACTATTTTTATTACCTTGGACAAATTCCTTAGCCTCTCTGCCTCAGTCTCCTTGCCTGTTGAATGGGAATAATGAGGTACCTACCTCCTAGGTTGAGAATAAGTTACATTAATACATGTAAACCAGTTTTTATAGTGCCTGGCACATAGTAAGCCCCAGTATAAATTTTAGCTAATAGTAATCTTATTTTCCCGTCATGGCACCAGGGGTCCCTCCACTGCTGAAGAGCTTCCTCCAGGAGCGACTGGGAATCCACTTAATTCGAAGGAAGACAGTAAAGTCTAAGCATCATATTTTGATGCCTCAGAAGGCTTCACGGAAGGTAGGGCTCCCAAGGCAGGACTCCACCCCCAGGAAGAGTGCAGCCTATTATAATGTATGCAGACCAACCTGGCTGTAGAGCTGCTTTCTTCACAGTGCCTGGAATCTTTCCATTAGGTTCAGCATTGCCTCTTCTCCTTTCCTAGCTCTGGGAAGAGCACTGGATGAAACAACAAATATGAAAATATATTTTAAACTCCCAAAACCCTTACCAATGCAAGTTATAGTCACCTATAGTAATTGAGAATTGCTATGGGCCGGGTGTGGAGGCTCATGCCTCTAATCTCAGCACTTTGGAGGCCAAGGTGAGAAGATTGCTTGAGGGCAGGAGTTTGAGACCAGCCTGGGTGAAACCCTGTCTCTACAAAAACACAAAAACAAAATAAAACCAAAAGGCTAAGCCAGCATCAGAATACATCTCCTGCCTGAATCATAAGGAAGTGCTTCCTTATGTTGAGAAAAGTCTGCTTTCTTTGCCATAAAGTAAGTCAAATCCCTCTTATAATTTCTGTGACGTGTTCCTCCCTCCTGAACTTTAGTCTTTCTACAGGCAAAAGGTGGGCTGAGCATTGCTGATCCCAAAGTTAAATACAGAGGTTTCCTTGCCACCCACTGCAACCCACCTCTGTCCAGCCAGGCTCTTGTCTGAAGTCTTCAGAGGACTGGACAAGAATTTGAATTCAGAAATAGAAATTCCAAGGTTTCCATCATCTTTATCTTTGTCTGTTACCTCCTCTAAAGGATCTGCCCCATCACTTCCCATCAGCCAGCTAGGGAGGGACAGAATCCGCTCTCTCCTTTACAGAGCCCCGTGCCCAGGACTCTGTGGAGCACTTGCATCTGTGCTATCCCATAATCCTCACAGCAGATGAGGCAACAGACTCAGAGAGGTGAACTGACTTGTTAAAAGTTAGCGTTGGATCCTAGGGGACCCCTCACACCTCCTTCCATAAAAGGTTCTGACTAACTTTTGAGCTAAGTAAGTTAAATAAACACAGATGCCAGTGGCCAAATGAGAAACAAATCAATGCTTTGTTAATGTAGGTAAACACCCTCTATCCTAGACTGAAGAATGTGGCTTAGTCCTAAGTCAGACTGGGGATGCTTGCATGTCCACAGTGGGCATACAGAGATGAGGCTAGAGATGCAGATTAGACTCCTGGGGTTATTCAGACAAAGGCTGCAGGCTTCCCCTCACACCCAGGCATGGACAGACTGGAGGAAAATGGAGAACCTGCCAGAGCAGGCCTGTAATCAAGAAGCTATGTGAGCCCTTTGCTTGTGAGGACACAAATGGAAAATAAAACAGCCTGGTCTCATTGATGAGCAGTAATCCAGCCCACCACTGAAGCAGGGCCCAGTGACTCAACTTCTGACCAGTTAGGTTACCCATTCCTCCCTTGGGAAGGGGTGGGGAAAGTAGCGGTGGGCTAGAGAAAGAGCATTCCCTCTAGCACTTCTCTCACACAGAGCCATGAGAGGGAAGGGGAAATGTTCCTTCCTGCCAGCTGCCAAACCATGGCGCTCGGTGTTTTAGATGCTGAGGCATGGATTCAGACAAAGACTCTGGATCCCTCAGACTTCAAGTATAAACACTGAGGTTCTACATATTTTCCTAAAGAATATTTTCTTAAAAAGTAATGTATTTTATAAAACAGCCATCCTTCACCCTCCTTAGTCCTTAGGTACGTTTGCACATACCATTTTATTTGGCAGAACTCTGTGAGAGAGGCACAAGGAGGAAATGGGAGCTCAGAGGATAGAACTGTATTCCAGCCCACATTTTTTTTACAGTGCTTGGAATCTTTCCACTACACAATTTAACATCTCTCAGTAAAAGTACAGATATAAGTGAACCAAATACCTCTGACAAAGAGTGAAACAATCCACTATGTAAAGGGGGAGGAAGAGAATGGCCACAGGCTTTTACTAATTAAGGAAGTTATTTTCTTGGTCCTGAACCTTCAGAGAGATTTTTCCAATCTTTATATAAGGTATAGGGACCAGCATCCTGAAAGGGGCTTGGTGCTACCATCTTCCAGAAAATACAGGACCATTCCCCAACACCCTCTCTGGAGTCCCTGGGGAAAGCCCAAGGGCACCATGTTAAACACTGATCTGAAGAGCAAAACTACTGAGGGCCAGAGTAACATATGATCAGAGATGCAGCAGAAAGCCTGGAGCCCAGGACTGGAATTACATCATCAAGGCACTACAGCCGAATCACTCTGTGACTTGGACAGGTCATTTTACCTCTCTAAGCTCCTGTTTCCTCATCTATAAAATTAAGGATAATTATTCATTGGGTAGTTTCAAGGTAGAAATAAAACAACTTACGTCATGCATGGGGCACATGATAGATGCCCAACAAGTATGATTTCCCTTTCCACCTCCTCCTCAGTCCTTACCCAGTGCTCTGGCTGCTATACAAGTGGCCTTAGGCTATGGAGGCCCAGGAGGAGAGGCTCCTGAATAGGAAGCAAATCCATTCTGGCCCTACTCCATGACAGGTGAAAACTGAAATCCCAAAGGTGCCGAAGCAGCCGCTGCTGCTCCATCATCCATACGTGGCCACAACCAAGTCTCCCTCAATGGATATGCTAGAGCCAGAGGCAGAGCTGGCTGAAGATCTGCCCACTACCAAAAGCACTTCTGTGGAGCCAGAGATGTCCTCTGAGAGCTTGGAAGCCCTTTCCCTGTCTCGCCGGACCTTTGTGCCACTGCCTCCCATCTGCTCCGACTCCACTGTGCATAGCGAAGAGACCCTGTCTCACCTGAGTGATGTAGCTGTCCACCTCAGCCCAGAGCACCCATCAGATGAGGACTCCAAGAGCAAAGAGTCCGTCTTCCTGACCCAGGTACCTGTATCCAGCTGCCCCTGCCCACTTGTTGCTAGCTCCCACAGGTTCCTGTGCAGCCCTTAGCAGCCTCGACTGCTACTGAGAGGGACACACATGAGGATAAATCATGGTTCTGTGGCACAGACAAGATAGTCTGACTGGGGTGTGATTCCAAGTGTTTTTTCAGAAGAGTTTGCTGCTCTCTGTACCTCTCTGCTTCAGGTCTCCTCACTTTGGGAACACACATAGATCAGATGCAGGTCCTGCCCTTGAGGTGCTCTCAGTATAAAGGGAAAGACAGACAAAAACAGCTCATGCAATCAGTGCTGAGACTGAGGGAAACCCAGAGGCTAGGAGTCTGGAGGTAGGAGAGATGCCTCTGCCCCAGCCCAGGAGGGCTTCCTGGAAGAGGCTCAACTGGGCTGAGATTTACAGGCTGAGTAGGAATTAAAAAGGTGAAGATATAGCAGCAAGGTCATTCTGGACAGATGAAACAGCATGAAATGGGAAAGAGGAGGGAAATGAAAATGATACTTGCAGGAACCACAAATGTTTAGTATCAGCAGGAGGGTGGCATGTGGGAAATGTTAATATAAGGCTAGAAGAGTTGGCAGGGCCCCTTTGAACTTTATTGCTGTACCATCCCTCTCCCTCATCTCCCTGCCTCCAGTCTTACCCTTCCAGTCTGCTCACTGCCAGATCTTTCCAGGATGTACATCCATCTATCTATCTCTTTATACCAATTGACTTTTAGTGACATATACATTTATACAGTATAAAAGTATTTTGAAGAACCATCTCAGAACCTTTTTGGAGCAATGCAGAATATAAACAAGTATTAGATGAAAAGAAAATATGGACAGGAAAGCAACTAGTGAGTATAAGGGTAATTCTATCACTTAAATGTGCACATGATTCACTGCTGCTTTTATAATAAAGAGGTACTGACAAAATGCAATTCTGAGCTCCTAGCAGCGAAAGCAATAGAATCAATTATGAGTCCCCATGTTGTTCAGAAAAAAAAAATCCTTTTTTTTTTTTTTTGAGATGGAGTTTCGCTCTTGTTACCCAGGCTGGAGTATAATGGCTCGATCTCAGCTCACCGCAACTTCCGCCTCTGGGTTCAGGCAATTCTCCTGCCTCAGACTCCCAAGTAGCTGGGATTACAGGCACGCGCCACCATGCCCAGCTAATTTTTGTATTTTTAGTAGAGACAGGGTTTCACCATGTTGACCAGGATGATCTTGATCTCCTGACCTCGTGATCCACCCGCCTCGGCCTCCCAAAAAATCCTTTTTTTTTTTCCTTGCTTAATTGTCCTGGCTATAACCTTTAATAAGATGAATTGAAGTGGTGAGAGTAATTTCCTTGTCTTGTGCCAGTTCTTAAGGGGAAAGCATTCAGTCTTTCACCATTAATTATGATATTAGCTGAGGGTTTTCCACAGATGCTCTTTATCTGGTTGAGGAATTTACTTCCTAGTTTATTGAGTGTTTTTTAATCATGATGGAGTGGGCTTTTCCTATGTCTGTTGAGATGATTATATGGTTTTGATGCTTTATTGATATATTACATTGATTGATTTCCAGATGTTAAACCAACCTTTCATTCCTAGGATCAATCTCACTTAGTCATGGTATATAATCCTTTATACATGTTGCTGAATTCAGTTTGCTAATATTTTTTGAGAATGTTTGCATTTACATTTATAAGCGATATTGCTTTATATTTTTCCTTTCTTGTGATGTCTTTCTCTAGTTTGGATTTCAGGGTAATACCTCAGAGAATTAGCCTCTTTAATTTTTGGAAGAGTTTGTGAAGTATTGGTGTTAATTCTTTTTAAAATGTTTGGTAGAATTCACCAGTGAAACCATCTGGTCCTTGGCTTTTCTTTGTGGGAAGTTTAAAAAGTGCTAATTGAGCTTTTTTGCTTATTATAGGTCATATATATATATATATACACACACACACACACACATATATATATACACACACACACACACAAATATACAAGATGGGGTCTCACTCTGTTGCCTAGGCTGTAGTGGAGTGGCTATTCACAGGCACCATCCCACTACTGATCAGGTTGTGAGTTTTGACCTGCTTCATTTCCTACCTAGGCAAGTTCATCTCTCCTTAGGTAACCTGGTGGTCTCTCACTTCTGGGAGGTCACCATATTGATGCCAAACATAGTGTGGACACTCAAGGAGCATAATGTACTATGGTCCAGAACTGGCAGGCTCAAATGATCCTCACATCAGAGGATCCTCAGCCTCCTGAGTAGCTGGGACTCAGGCATGTGTCACCATGCCTGGTGAGTTATTTTAATAAATAATTACATCCCTACATGACATACAGATTTCTTATAAAGCCATTAGGATAGGCTAAAATCCTCCATGGCTTGCCATCAGAGTGAGGATAAAATACAAAATACACCCTCAGCTTGGCATATAAAAGTCCTTACTGATCGGGGCCCTGCTTACCACTGCAGCTGCCGATCTCTTCACATTGTGCTCTAACTGTACCAATCTTTAGATCCCCCAAAATGCACCTTAATGTTACTTACCTCTGTACCTTTTCTCATGCTGGTCCTTGTCTGCAACAATCATCCTTTCTCATCTCTTGCAGTTCACACCTCCTCCCATTGCTCCGTAGGGATAGCTCTCCTGGCTCTTCAAGACTTAGCTCAGGCTAAGGCATTCCTCCAAGGGAGCTTCTTGGCTAGGTTGGGGCTTCCTCTGGGATCACCAAAAACCACTGTGTTCCTTCTGTGTGGTTCTTGTCTGTTTTCATGTCTGCCTCCTTCCCTCCCAGTCTTGTTCTTATCCTTGCCCTTAACAGGGCCCAGCAGAGACCAGCACAGAGATGATGCTTGGAATACTCATGGAATGAATGAATGAATGAATGAGTGTGTTTTCTTCCTGGGCACAGGTGAGTGAGCTGCCTTCCTCCATCATCCATAGGGATGATTTAAAGGAGAAAGATCAAAAGAGACCACCAACGGCATCCAGAGAGGTGAAAGGGACTCGGAGGAAGCTCTCAGCTTCCTCTCTTCCCAGCAAGTACCATGGCTATGAAGAACTGCTGACAGCCAAGCCTGATCCAGCCTTCACTGAGCCAAAGGGTATGTGAGGGCATATCCTTGCTCTAGGGCAAGGGGCCAGAGCAAGGCAGCGCCGAACCAAGGCTGGTGCCAAGCTGTCTTTCCCCAACCAGGGTGCTATCCTCTGTCTAAACGCCTGTCAAAGGGCTCCATTTAGGGCATCCTTTATTTGAAGCCCCACATATTGGAACCCCTGTCCTGGCTTGGGCCTTCACTGGCTGATGGGGAACCACAGTTTATTCAGAGATTCCAATCAGTCTCAGTCTACCTGTTCTAGATGGAAAAGTCTCTCCTCAGGAAAGGTTTGATAAATGAACACCCAGACTGGCCAGATTGTTGAGCTTTGCCCAGACCAGGTTAAGTCCCAAACTGAACAATCCTTCCTATCTGGTTTGAGGCAAAGGAGGCAGCTTGTGTTAATCTGTACTTCCAGAGCAACTGGCATTCAGCAGGGCTGTTCTGGGTGTCAGCCCCTGCGATATAACCCTGAGGTTAATAGGGTCACATTGGAGCCAACCTTTTCTCCTACTCCAATACTATTTTCCTATTACAATCTATGCTATTTTTCCATTGCAATATGGGACAAATACTCACCGAGGAACGATGGAACTTCAGGCACTGGAACAGATCCAGGAGAAACCTGGGAGTAGTGTTTTCTTTTGGGGACTCTCAAACCCTTTTACCTAGAGCTGCTGTGAGAACTGAGGAATTAAGCAATCAGGGGAGGCATCTGGGAAGAGGAAGGGGAAGTACCTTGACTCAGTCTTGCCTTCTTGCCCTAGGAATCCAGAAGAATGCACAGGCCCTGCAACACATGCTGAAGCACCCACTCCTGTACCACTTCTCCAAGCCCAAGCTGGACACTCTTCAGAAATCCTATGTTCCCAAAGAAAAACGGGTAAACTTCCAGCTGAGTGTGTAATGTGAGTACCCCCCACAGGTACAGATGTGGCTGTCACCTTGGGACCCTCTGAGGGCCATGCTTTCCCAGCACCCCCAGATGCTCCCCAGCTTGTGGCTGTGATGTATGAAGTGAGGCCAGGAAAGTCTGTGCATAAACCTGGGATAACACCCTCCTCCATGTCCTTCTGCTAGGCCCAGAGGACCCTGATTCTGCCACCACAGAAGACTAGAGCCCAGCTGCTGGATGACATCTTCATTCGCTTGCGGGATCCCCAGAACATTACAGAGGCTCCACTAGGTATGGCTCTGCCACAGCTGCCAGGATCCCAGATCCAGCAGTTCACTCACCTGCTGGCTAAAGGCAAACAAAGGGCTTGTATCAGTGCAGGAAAGGCCCTTAGAGAGCAACTGCCCTCACTGGTCTCTCTCTATAGATGGAGAAACGAAGACCCAGCATGAGGCAAGCAGTTGCCTAAAATCATACATCATGTTAAGGTCCTGAACCAGGGCTTAAGATAGAAGAGTCAGGAGGGCATACTGCTGACTTCCCACTGCCTCAAGCTGGAAAGGCCATTTTTAGCCCCTTACCATCCTCCTGCGACACCATCCCACTTTCCAAGGGTCTCTGGACCAAATCCTGCTGCTTCTGGCTGGGTGGGAACCAGCATGAGCTGGTGCCTCTCCTGGCTTCTTTTCCTGCAGGCACTGTCCTGCGTCGTCGGACAGAGCAGCGGCTGGTGAACCAGAAGCAGTACCTGGAGGCCAAGAGGCTGTTGAAGGAGTTCCAGGCACGCTACCGGCGGCTGGTGCGTGGCTCTCTGCGGACAGTGTTGGGGACCACCCTGCTCCCTCCAGCCTGCCCACCGCTGAGTGAGAGCCAGCCCAAGTTTGGCCGCTTCCTCAAGTTCATTGATGAGTTCTGCCAGGACCCCACAACCAGTGGCTCACAAAGCTAGGGCTGTGCACCACCTGGCCTGTGCCCCAGCTCTCCCCAAGGGCTGTGCCATGGACTGCACCAGCCAGCCACAGGCCTCAGCTCAACTGGGCTCCACTCACTGGACACAAACTGGCCTCCCCGTCAGAATCTTCCTTCCTTGGGCCAGGCATGACCTGGTGCCTTGCCCAGTGGAATAAAGAGTGACTGCACAGGGCAACAGACTGGGTGCCACATGCATTCTTTCTTGGAACCCAGGCCACAGCAGTATTGTCACACTTCCCTCTAAAAATGGTTTTCCAGTTCAGATGCAACAGGGATACATTTGTTCTCTGTTGTATGAGAAACGGATACCAAGGGGATCTTAACAAACTCCTGAACAATGGCTCCAAAAAGGGTATTTTTAAAAACCAGATCTTGTGAGTAGATCCCTAATGTGCAGGGAGTGTTATCCTGTACATTCATTCTTTGAGCTCAGACTCTTTCTTGGTTCCTTCATTAGGAACATAAATAGTTGAATGTGAATATGACAGTAAATTGGAGCAAACTGTTAACTGGAGATAACTTATGCCAAAAGATATAGTTGTAACCATGAAAACCCCATCCCAGCTCCTAATCTCTACCACTACCACTATTTTGAATGCCAAAGCAAGACATTCAGCATGGGGCATCTCCCAGAGCACATGCAGCACCAAAAATCCACACACCGCCTAAACTTAACCCATGTTTCTGTCTGAGATCATTCTCCAGTGACAAGACTTTGACTAGAAACGGAGCGTTCACTTTCATGAGTTTCCTTTACTGTATTCTCAACTTGGGCCTTGCCTCAAGCAGGCAAACATACATAGAAGAATGCACTTTGGTACTGTTTAAATAAAACACATCATCCCACTTGATTCCATGCCACGTCACTGCTGGCAAAAGCATCCCCAACAGGGCATGTCCTGCTCAAAGTCCTCTTTGTCAAAACGCTCTTCTTTTAAGTTGGAGAGGAGGCAGCCAGCAGTGGCAGTCCATAGGGATCCAGGTACCTTCTCCAATTCTAAAGCAGACAGCAGGTTGAATAAAACCAATATACAACCTGTTTTCTAGGTAGGAGGTGACAAGGCCCTTAGGACAACTATATTTGTACAAAGAGTTGAGAGTTAACAGTCTATCAGGCTAAAAAGAAAAAACCACCATTGGTTGGCATTTAAAATAATTTTTCCCTTGCATAGTATCTATTCTCTCACTAGGACGTTAAGCACTCTGCTGGAGGCTCAGCGTTGGTAAAATGAGGAAGAAAGAACCCCTGCTCTCTCTGGTGGCACAGCTTTGGAGGGTGGTGGTCCCAATAAGGGGAAATCTGCCTGCTGCCGTATTAATCTGGAACCAGGGCCAATAGCTACTCTTGAAATCTTGTTTTTGAAGAATGAGTTCATTGCCTGTTTTACCTTATAGTAAATGATTGATAGGAAAGGAAGATGAACAAACTTTGCTTTGCCTTGGCTTCATACTAGTTCTTGATTTAAGACACCAGAAAGTGAGCCAGTCTGCTCAGAGTTAGAGAGGTTGTAAAAAGTTGCCACCTTATTCACAAGGCATTAAAAAGGAATTTACTCATAAAGGAGAAGAGCAAATTTTTTTCTTAGGAAGAAAAAAATACTGATAATACATAGAATAACCTGCACATTGGCACTTTTTCCTTCGTCCAATCTGTCTATAAACTGGTGACCCTTGCAAATATCTTAGGTATCTTTTCTACGATCTTCAGAAAGCTGTAGCAGGTTAACAATCATGTATAAAGATGTATTTCCTGGATCTTCAGAAGAAAATCTATTTAGCACTTTCCCTATAATCTGCACCTTCCACCCCACCCTAGACCTGCTTTCTCTTTGAGAATTCACAACCAACTATGTTTATAGACCAATTCAAAAGACCACTCTATGAGCTGATGAGGATAAGGCTGGCCGAGAAAAATTTAAGACCCTAATGAGTTTCCAATTTTTAAAGAAAATTTGGCTAGGTGACTTTTAACACTTAAAATTATTCCAATCAAAATATATCACTTTCCAAGATTCCACATTCTTATTACTTACTTATACTACAGAGACTCTCTACCTGAGCATGTATTCAGGGGATATAGGTACATTTAACTCTTAACTGAAAAAAAACAGGGAAAAAAAAGCTATTAAAATAGCCTCCTAAATCATTTCGGGGTATCCCCATCATTGGTGTGTGCATCTGTGTGTATCAAACTTTAATGACTATTTATTCAGACCCTGGAAAACTACACTATAAAATAGGGTACTGGATTGCAAGTTCCTTGTTTGGCTAAAAAAGGGGGTTGGGGAAGAAGCTGTTTAACTTGGATGATTTCCATGCCCATTCCAGCTACACATTCTATGATTGTGATCCAGCCTTTGATTCGTCTCTTTCTGTGCTCTTCTACTAGACATTTCAATGAGAAGCTAGGCAGGAAAAAGGAAAGGAATCCCAAGTTGCTGCCAGCTCTAAGAGATCAGGTTGGGGGAGGGATTAGGAGGTTACTAAATTGAGATGTGAACCTCCTCTGACCATGTCAGTGATCCACAATCCACCTCACTTCTTGGAGGAAAGCTGAAAGCAGTTTTTGAAGCGAAGTTAATGTGATCACTAGAGAAAATTCATTCTCCTTCCATCACATTACTTAGTAAAAGAAAAGCAGTGGTGCAATCAAATTCACAAATACTGATGGGGGGGGTCTCTAAAATGTAGAATGCAGCATGCTGGGTGCCTTTCAGTATCCTAAATGAGACCAGAGATGGCTTTCCTAAAACCATAAACTCTCCAGCGACACATACATTCAAATGCATTCCATTTGACGTTGAGCTCCTCAAGAGTGGGAGTGGGAACTGCTTTATCTCCACAATCCAGCTCAGGGTTAGCACACATTTGAAGCTCAGGAAATGTTTGTCAAATAGAAAAGAAAAGATGAACAGCTTTGAGTCATCAGCTGCAGGAGTCAGGCACAGTGACAGCTTCCCATTTTAGTCAGTTGCCCAGTTTGTAACCAGACAGTAATTAAGCAGCTTTAATCTCTTAAGGGCATTTTTCCTTTAGGGAAAATGAACAAAAACAAAACATTTATTACCAGTGCTGCTTTCAAGCAAAAATGTAAAAATTAAATTAAAAGTTTAAAAAATAAGTGAAGCCACTTAGGAGTTTCCCTAGCAAGCCTCGCCCAAGAAGACTGAACCTTTTTTAAAAAGAGGTAATTATATAAAAGGGGCCAGAGGCTGGATGCATAATCCCCTGATTTTACGCCAACCCAACACCCCCAGATGACTTCTTCCAGCAGATACAATCAACAGGTCAAGAACATTTTCTCAAAGTATCTTTCCCTCTCTATGGAAAAGAGCTGACAGCCCCTCTTGAGGGCACATTTCTTGGATTTCCCCTCAGATTGACCTTCACCCTCCCACCTCTCGTAACTTCCCCTTTAATAAGGAAAAATCCCATAGACTGCATATATACAAGGAACAGAGTTAGCAAGACATGGGTAATTTGTATGGTGAACTGGATGTCAATGATTTGTGGGGAATTTGTTTTGTGAAATTGTGCATCTCTTATTCTAACTCACAAACCCTCCCCATCTATTTCCTTCCTCGTCCTTTTCTCTTCCTCCAAAAAAATCCATCTCAACAACTTGACTTGTAACCAACTTCAGAACCATGGAAGGAGGGGGACTTTTCAGAAAGAAAAAGCATTCAGGTTTTAGTTATTAAGGATGGGAAGCATGTTAAAATACAGATAATACCTTAGTGGTTTTTCCTTCCTCCAAAGTCAAGCTGACTAAAGATCAAATCTCCTCCCTCCTTAACCTAGACCACTCTACCTATATTTGAAGGACTGTTGCTCAGCAGAAGTTTAGAAAAACAACTGTCAATACCATCTTAGGCATCACAGTAGGTACAAGGGGGAAAGGCAGTAAGCTGAACCTAGTATTTGGAATATTTGCTTAACAAGAATTTGTTCACTCTGCACTTGTTGCAACTGCTATGCAATTCTTAAAATGAAAAGAATTTGGGGAAATATTTAAAATATATATCTTTTATCTATTAAAAATATTTCTTTCTACCAAAGACAAAAATCAATTCCAACAGAGAAGTGTTTTTCCAATTACTGGAGATATAGAAAAAGATGGCAAGTGGAAAAATAAGTGTCTTTGCGCCTACCAACAAGACTAGCCTTCCAATAATATTTACTAAGATCAAAAAGGAATTGCAGGAAATGGCAGTAACTGATAAGTTTCCTCTAAGGGCATTTATACTAAGGTCACCCTCCCTGTCTTCTGTAAACCAGAGCCAGCTCTTCAGTTTTGGGCAATACCACGCCCTCCAGCAGCCCCTTGGAGGACATAATTGTTGGTAGGGCCTAGAACTGAAGTAGTGTGACCATAAAGTAATGAGATTGATATATGTTTTTAAAACATACATCTGCACATGTGCACGCACACACAGAGCACAGAATACATACATTCAGGTGAGTGATGTTCCCCACCAGTAGTCACCAAAGAGATTCTACCTATCTCAGTGATGACCACAATACTTAAGACATCTCTGGAACCTCTCTTTGGGAACTGTTTGGGAATTATGCGCTGCACAAGAAAATGGCTCTGACTTCTTTACAGCAGCACCCCATTTATTACTGCAAACCCAATTGATAAGCCACCTTCTTTTCCAGAGGCTTCAAATAACTGCTGGCTAGTCTCAGATTTAAAATCCTCTCGTAAGCAAAAATAACACTGAAGATCTGCCCTGAGAAGGCAAATCTGAGAGGACTAAAAGGAGTTATACCATCTGCCTTGATCAGTGAGTCACTGTGCTGGACTTTGGCTTCTAGATCTAGAAGCTGAGGAGGACCTTGGAAGGAGGCTGGAACAGATAACCATTAAGGTCCCTTCCAGTTCTTGCATTTTGGGAGTCAATGTTTCTAGATGTTTCTAGTCTTTAAGGACAGTTCCAGAAATGCTTTCCCCAATGACAGTGGCATTGGAAAAACTAAGCAGTATCCTGCTGGGAGGCTACTCAAGAGGGACACCATACACTGGAATATATAAACCCTGGAAGGTTTGTTAAAATGCCTGCCACATGACTTTATAGTAACAGCTTATACATATATAGGGAATGCCAGCCCATCTGAAATTCGCTAAAGTCATATCTTGATCCCTATTCTCAATGAGCCCAGATGGGCAGAAGCACCAAGCACCACCAGGAATGCAAAAGACACATGGTGTCAGCTGCTAAGGAAAATAAACCCCCAAAGGTCCATGGGACTGAATTTACCAGCTGCATCCAGCTAGATACCTTGTTTCCATAGTATTAGAGTTTAAGTATGATTCTTTGCCCAACTTCAGGGTGAATAGTTTGGATTTTAGATCAACATTGCAGATAATCCTTGGCCATGTGAAAAGTAATAATGAAGCCTGATTATAGTTTGTCTCATAGGCTGAAACCCCCAGAAAAACAGAAGGCTGTCAACTGTGGGGATGGCGATAATGCATAGTACATGTTTATCCATCCTGTCAATCTTGTTTGCACGTGGATTTTGCATTATCAGTGTTCAATGTCCAGCCTAGTGTCCCCTAGGTTCCCCTGGCATGCCCTTAGGTTGTGGTCTATTTGGAAAACCTGTAGAAAATCCATGGGTTATGCCACTCAGTAGCTGAGAACTGGAACATCTGCATTGCAGTTTCACCATCTAAAAATGGGGCTGATACCAGTTACATGATAGGTCTCTTGAAAAGACCAAATTAAATGATGTCTGTAAATGTGCTCTTTCAACTATATAGCATTCATCAAATGTCAGTTTTTAAACAGAGAATGTAAATTAACTTTTGTAAAGGCACAAGCCCGATACAGAGAGGTATTTACTTTTGGCAAGGGCTGGGAGAAAGAGGAACATAACCATCTATCATTTTGGATCTGCCAAGGAACTAAATTGTTCACATCTTTGAAAAAGATGGAATTAATTTTTATCTGCAAGGCTGATTTAAAACAATACCCTGCTGAAAGAGGTCAGGAGGTCTATCAGTTTCAGAAGGTATCCCCTCTTTACCATTTCCACCTGTTGCCATTATGCTCCTGAATGAGGCCTTTCCAAATCTCATTCCAAGTGGGTGCTGCCAAGTTTGGCCCAGAAGCCCTTAGGGGTGGTCACTCAGGCTCCTGGCCTGGGTCGCAGAGATGCAGTTCCCTTGAATATTGACTACAAAGGCCCTAGAACCTCTCAGAACCATATTAGACAGTGTTTTGCCATTAAAATAAAACCAAAGTGAGCAACATTCAGCACTTCAGGATAATGATCAAGGCTGAAGACCTTTTAAAAATAGGTAACACTGTTCACTGGGTGCTACTTGGCCCCGGCCATGTTGCTGGACCTTAGGAGATACTGATCCACACTTCCTTTTCGCCGGCTCACAGTCCGCCTCTCATTGTCAAACATGCGCTGCAACTGCAGAGCCAACTGTCGGTCTTCTTCCTCTTGCTGAAGTTTCTGCTCCATCTCTTGCAGGACTGGGTCTGTTGGGGCCAGACCCACCTCACCACTGGCTTGTCGCAGTTTTTTAAGGGAGCCATTTTGTTCCAAGTGCTTGGTCTTGCAGTGTCTTTTCCGGCCTCGACGCAAAGAAGGAAGTGGCTCTTCAACTAGGCTGTCGACTAGAACACCATTAGCCAGATCAAAATGATTTAATGTCTTTAATTGTTTCTTTGTTTTGAGAACTCCACCCAGAACACTGTTTTGGGGTAGCACTGAATTAACTGCGGAGATTTTCATGGCTCTGCTTATACAGGTTTTGTCTAACTTGGCATCTGGAATTGACCCTGACCCCTCAAACTGCTCCCTTTCCAAAGAAGTCCCGCTGCTTCCCCCTTTGAGTTCTGAGGAACAGCAGGTTTCCAGTGGGATCTCAGTGCTACTTTTATTATCATTGTCCTGTTCTGCTTTTGTTTGGCTAACAGAGGGGAAATAATCAAGATCAGCAGAGGTGGGTCCAGTATACTCAGAGAGGACCTGCCCACTGGACAATCTTGTATTTACAGCCAGGAGTGGCTTCTCCTTGCTAGAATGGATCCCTTCAGAGCCTAGTAAGTCTTCTCCCATTTCAGGAGCCAGGGAGGTAAGAGTGGCTTTTGAAAGGGTCTTTTTGATCTGCCGCTCCTGAAAGATCTGTTCCCACTTTTTGAGGATCCGTGGACTGGCCTCATAAGAAGTCTGCTTCTGCAGGCTTCTGTTTAGGTTACGTGGCGTTGATTTGATAATGAGGGGACTTAGCACACGGCCATCAGGGAGTCTCTTGGGAGGGGTACATGGTGAACAGACAATGGGCTTGAAATGGTTTAGTTCTTCGGAGATGCTATCATTGCTCTCAGGGCTGACAGAACGCTCTGGCTTATGCAGGGAAGCCAAGGAGGAAAGGGAGCTGAAAGGCAGACGCTTTTCAATGGTTAAGTCAGGGGCTGAGAGGCAACGGTTGTTTTGAGTTGACAAGAGGACACCAATGATGGGGTTGGAGGCTGGAGTAATAGTTGTGACCTGAAAGAGAATAAAAGATTATGCATTCACATACATACATATACATTTTCCTTCATCACTCCTTTATGATGGTAGAGGGACAGGGAAGGGAAGGACAAGAAAAGGGGTGAAGGGTAATGTGAGACTAAGAAGGGAGAAAATCCCTAACTTAGAAAGCACACCATTGAGCAGAAAATCCTACATACTTGAAACAATAAAACTGAAAATCTGTAGGGGAAAAAAACTTACCCAGAGCTTCAAAAAAGGTTTCTTGTCCAGTTATGGTGGCTCACACCTCCCAAAGTGCTGTAATCCCAGCATTTTGGGAAGCTGAGGCAGGTGTATCACCGAGACCACCCTGGACAACATAGCAAACTCCCATCTCCACAAAAAATTTAAAAGTTACCTGGGTATAGTGGCATGTGCCTGTAGTCCCAGCTACTCAGTACTGAGAAAGACTACCTGAGCTCAAGAGTTCAAGGCTGCAGTGAGCTATGGTTGCACCACTGCACACCAGCCTAGGTGACAGAGTGAGACTCTGTCTCTAAAAAAAAAAAAAAAACCGAGGGGGGTGGTTTCTCTAGTAGCTCTAATTCTACCCATCTGGCTACGAATTCAAACTTTCTTCCTTCACATCTGTTTGTGGACTTTTCCCACGTAACTAGTATGCCTGAGCTCATTCTGCTTCTCTTCTGGAATAGTTTCTTTCATGACCATGTGCAGAGGAGGTGATGGGGCAGGCCTCACAAGCACTGAGGTCTGGGGCCGAGTTGTACCTTGGCTTTGTTGGCTGGAGCTACTCTAAGTCTGCTCTTCGCTCTTTCCTGGGCTGTGTCACTACAGCTCTGACTCCTTTCCACCTTGGAGTTTAGCTTCCTAAAAAAGAATAAATAAAAGAAAAGTAGTCAAAATTAGTCCATATACTAGGTAAGAAAAAAGGATAACAATCTCTTTTTGCTTTCTAAGCCACTCACCAAGAAAGAATTCCCTTGGGCAGCTACAATAGAAAATGAGTTAATTAACAAAATACATTCTAAGAACAAACTCTGCCAAAAGAGAATGTTCCAGAGAGAATATCTGATTCAAGCTTTTGTTTCTAAATTAGAGTCTGCCAAAAGGAGGCAGAACCAACGGCTATTTTGAACATCCTTAGAGAGATGTAGAGATACTTCACTATCCTTAATAGGGTGGATACAATATTAAATCACTTTTACAAGCAACAGATTATTTTTTATTAGATCCAAACCTCTCCTCAAACAATCTAAATCAAACACAAAACAAATACTGTACTTACAAGAATGCACAGCAGTGCACTAGATCTTTATGTACAGAGTAAAATTAAATGTAGTCTCTCCTTCAATCCATTACAATTGAGCTTTCAAAAGCCTAAATCCTAGTGATTTCAGAGATGTAAAGAACACATTTTTGTCTTTATCACATTGAGTTTATAACCCAAACCAAACTCCACAGTATTTGTATTCTATACTGAAGCCCACTACACTACAGCACAGTAAGTGCCATAAAAGAGCAGTTACTATGCAGCTAAACTTCCCAAGTGTTTTCTTCTAAGAGTTTTATAATTTTGGCTCTTAAGTTTAGGTCTTTGGTCCACCCTCAGTTAAATTTTATAACTCAAAATGGTGTGAAGTTTGAGTCCAACTTTATCCTTTTGTATGTGGATATCTATTAATAGTTGTCCCAGGATCATATGTGAACCTATGTTAGAATTATGTGCAGATGACTGTTACCTTCCCCACAGACAAGTAGGGACACTTACTTTCTCACTCACCTTTGTTTCCCCATTCCTCAACTCTTGCCTAAATATATGTCTGTTCACCAAGCACGTATCATATACTTACTATATGTATGCCAGACACTGATAGCCACTATCCAGGCACTGGGAATACAGAGAAGAATGAGACACACTCTAGGTCTTCAAGGAATCAGGGTCCAGTGGACAGACAAATAAATAAATACAATACAGTCAATGGGCACAACAAAAGAAGTATGCACAGGAAGCAGAAATGGCATAAAAGAGAGAGTTCTTCATAACCTGGGATGAAGTGAGAGCTGGGTTGGAAAACTCTTCCTTATAAGCATGTTCATTTCACAGGATAAACAGGAATTTGCCATAAGTCAAGGTGGACACATAGTTATGCAGATAATCTCAAAGAGAAATTATTTCTTCAAATGATTTGATTTCACTTTGGAATGGAATACATTATATCTCTTTTGAAGCAAAAGCCTTGTTTTCAGAGTTCTACTATGCCAGCATTAGCTAGAAGAAAACTTGTATAAAGGAGATAAAATACCTTCCCAAGATGCCTCTCTTCTCCCTACATCTCTAGTGAAAGCATGTCCTATGCACTCATAAGGACTTCTACTCCAGTTATTTCTGTGTTATTCCTCCCATTTAAAACCCTCCTATCCTATGTCTTATAACCACGTAGTGTTAACAGGAGAAAGAGGTAGCCAGCCTATATCACATGCTTGCATTATACCAAGAAATTCAACATTTAACCCAAATGAAAGATGTGAAAGTTGTACCATCTAGTGGGAAATAACATTTTGGAGCAGGTAGAATATTTCAACATCCCCCCACAAAAGCAGCTGTGTAGAAGTCAGCTTGATTGGTAATTTACTTAAGAAAAAAAAAAGTGATGGGGGCAGATCCAAGATGGATGAACAGCAACAGCTCTGGAGGGCAGTGCCCAGTGAGAAAAACGCAGACGCCACCACAGGTGAGCCTCAGGCAAGCAGGGTCTGGAATGGACCTCCAGCGTCCTACATTAGAGGCGCCTGACTGTTAGAAGGAAAACTAAAAAACAGAACGAAATAACTTCATCATCAACAAACAGGATGTCCACTCAGAGACTTCATCTGCAAGTCACCAACTACAAAGACCACAGGTAGATAAATCTACAAAGATGGGAAGAAACCAGTGCAAAACAGATGAAAACACCCAAAACCACAACGCCTCTCCTCCTCCAAGGGATCACAACTCGTCACTAGCAAAGGAACAAAGCTGGATGGAGAATGGGTCTGATGAATTAACAGAAACAGGCTTCAGAAGGTGGGTAATAACAAACTTCTCTGAGCCAAAAGTACATGTTCTAACCCAATGCAAAGAAATTAAGAACTTTGAAAAAAGGCTTGATGAACTGCCAATGAGAATAAACAGCTTACAGAAGAATAAAAATGACTTCATGGAGCTGAAAAACACAACACGAGAACTTCACAAAGCATACACAAGTTTCAATAGCTGAATCGATCAAGCAGAAGAAAGGTTATTAAAGACTGAAGATAAACTCAATGAAATAAAACAAGAAGGCAAGAATAGAAAAAGAAGAGTGAAAAGAAATGGACAAAGCCTCCAAGAAATATGGGATTATGTGAAAAGATCTAATGAACCTGAATGTGACAGAGAGAATGAATCCAAGCTGGAAAACACTCTTCAGGATATTAACCAGGAGAACTTCCCCAACCTAGCAAGCCAGGCTGCCATTCAAGTCCAGGAAATACAGAGAACACCACAAAGGTATTCCTCAACAAGAGCAACCCCAAGGCACATAATTATCAGATTCACCAGGGTTGCAATGAAGGAAAAAATGCTAAGGGCAGCCAGACAGAAACATAAGGTTACCCACAAAGAAAAGCCCATCAGACTCACAGCGGATCTCTCAGCAGAAACTACAAGCCAGAAGAGAGTGGGGGCCAATACTCAACATCCTTAAAGAAAAGAACTTTCAACCTAGAATTTCATATCCAGGCAAATTAAGCTTCATAAGTGAAGGAGAAATAAAATTATTTATGAACAAGCAATCGCTGGGAGATTTCATCACCACCAGGCCTGCCTTACAAGAGCTCCTTCTTGAAGAAGCACTAAACATAGAAAGGAATAACAAGTACCTGCCACTCCAAAAATGTACCAAATGGTAAAGAGCATCGACACAGTGAAAAAACTGCGTAAACTAATGAGCAAAACAACCAGCTGACATCAAAATGGTTCACACATAACAATATTAACCTTAAATGTAAATGGGCTAAATGCCCCGATCAAAAGACACAGACTGGCAAATTGGATAAAAAGTCAAAACCCATCAGTGTACTGTATTCAGGAAACCCATCTCACGTGCAAGGACACACATAGGCTCAAAATAAAGGGATGGAGGAAGATTTACCAAGCAAATGGAGAAGGGAAAAAAGCAGGAGTTACAATCCTAGTGTCTGATACAACAGACTTTAAACAAACAAAGATCAAAAGAGACAAAGAAGGGCACTGCATAACAGTAAAAGGATCAATGCAACAAGAAGAGCTAACGATCCTAAATATATACATACCCAATACAGGAGCACCCAGATACATAAAGCAAGTTCTTAATGACTTGCAAAGAGACTTAGACTCTCGCACAATAATAGTTGGGGGCCTTTAACACTCCACTGTCAGTATTAGACAGATCAACGACACAGAAAATTAGCAAGGATATCCAGGACTTGAACTCAGATCTGAACCAAGCAAACCTAATAGACATATACAGAACTCTCCACTCCAAATCCACAGAATACACATTCTTCTCAGCACCACATCACACCTACTCTAAAACTGACCACATAATTGGAAGTAAATAACTCCTCAGCAAATGCAAAAGAACGGAAATCATAACAGTCTCTCAGATGACAGTGCAATCAAATTAGAACTCAGGATTAAGAAACTAACGCAGAACCACACAACTTCATGGAAACTGAACAACTGGCTCTTGAATGTTGACTGGTTAAACAATGAAATGAAGGCAGAAATAAAGATGTTCTTTGAAACCAACGAGAATGAAGACAAAATGTACCAGAATCTCTGGGACACATTTAAAGCAGTGTCTAGAGAGAAATTTATAGCAATAAATGCCCACATGAAAAGCAAGGAAAGATCTAAACTCAACACCCTATCATTGAAATTGAAAGAGCTAGAGGAGCAAGATTAAAAAAAAACTCAGAAGGAAGCAGAAGACAAGTAACTAAGATCAGAGCAGAACTGAAAGAGACAGAGACACAAAAACCCTTCAAAAAAAATCAATAAATCCAGGAGCTGGTTTTTTGAAAAGATCAACAAACTAAATAGACCACTAGCCTGATTAATAAAAAAGAAAAGAGAGAATAAAATAAATGCAATAAAAATGATAAAGGGGATATCACCACCGATTCCACAGAAATACAAACTACCATCAGAGATTACTACAAATAACTCTATACACACAAACCAGTAAACCTGGAAGAAATGGATAAATTCCTGGACACTTGCACCCTCCCAAGACTAAACCAGGAAGAAGTCAAAACCCTGACTAGACCAATAACAAGGGCTGAAGTTGAGGCAGCAATTAACAGCCTACCAAAAAAAAGCCCAGGTCTAGACGAGTTCACAGCCAAATACTACCAGACATACAAAGAGGAGTTGATAACCATTATTTCTGAAACTATTCCAAACAATACAAAAAGAGGGAATCCTTCCCAAATCATTTTATGAGACCAACATCATCCTGATACCAAAACCTGGCAGAGACTCAACAAAAAAGAAAACTTTAGGACAATATCCATGATGAACATAGATGCAAAAATCTTCAATAAAATACTGGCAAACCGACGGCAACAGCACATCAAAAAGCTTATCCATTACGATCAAGTAGGCTTCATTCTGGGGATGCAATGCTAGTTCAACATACGCAAGTCTATAAACAGTCCTTTGCTAAAAACTCTCAATAAACTACGTATCGACAACGTATCTCAAAATAATAAACGCTATTTAGGACAAACCCACAGCCAATATCATACTGAATGGGTAAAAACTGGAAGCAGTCCCTTTGAAATCTGGCACTAGACAAGAATGC